AGCATCGTTATCCGATGTAAACATACTGTGACGTCATAATGAAATAGGGCAATTCAATCACAGACTTGGTCAATTGGCGATCTAACACAAAAGTCCCTTTCGCGATTTCTGGCGCCATATTTTGGACTAAGATTCCATGAAAGGATGGAGAAAAGATGCGTTTTTCGTTATATTTTTATTCTTATTCTGTATACTGTTAATCCTTTGTTCAATTTTTTGATCCCTGCCAGCAGAATCTCTCTTGTAGCTTCCGAGGAGTACTATAACGAGAGAGAGACGATTTGGGCGTTGCATAAGACTGACTCATAGAGCGACAGTAGTTAAGGTTTGCGAGTTTTGCGAATAACACTTGATCAAAACTATTCATCTATTCATCTTTTTTCCCCATCGATTCTTAGATTCTTTACTAAACGAACAAGATGGTGCTTAAAACCGTGAAAGTGTCTGTCATAGCGTTTTAAACCATTCTCATGAGATTCAAATGACAAAAGACCGCCGGCCATGTTGGAGGAATGAACAATAGATACTAATTAGAAATCCTTTGTTGAAGTTCCTCCAAGATGGCTGCTGTGACGTATAGTGAAAACGAAGAATTAATTTGATGCACATGGCACCGATAACTAAAAAAAAGAAAGAAAGAAGAAACAACCAATCAATCATAAAACAGTTACGATAAACTCTTACTTTCGTTTTTTCCCTCCAGACAACTGTTTACTAATCTGTTGACTAGCAAGCTGCGCAAGCTCACTAGAATACTCTACACTCCAACACTTAAGTAACGCAGTGACAAACTGGTTACCAGTTCTCTTGTCCGGACATTCCATTGYAACAACGGGCGTCAAAAGATCATGGGAAGGCCTAATGTAGAGTGAAATAACGGYAAAATAGTGACGATTATAATGATAATCATATCTCAAGACTGCATTGTCCTATGACGGTCTTGGTTGCGCTTACTATAACCTATGTGACTATCAAAATAGTATTAAKTRCCATAAAAAAGCGATTGATTTGTRCAAAAAACTGAATGACTATGAAGAAGGATTAGGGGTCGTCATTATCATATCAGTCAGGTGCAAGGAAAGTACCATGATGCAATTCGTCTTTTAGAAGAAAGTCTCGTTAAAATTGGAAGAAAAGAAAAACAGGCGACTGACTTACTTAATTTGGGAACAATATACGCAACGTTGAATGATTATGATAAAGCCAGCGAGTTGTACCAGAAAAGTCTTACTGATCAGCAAAGAGATCGGTAATAAAGGTCTGCAAGCAAAATGTCATGGTAGCTTGGGAGATGTTTTGATGAATCATCATAAAAAATGTTCAGAAGCTATTTATGCCAATTTTCAAAGAATCCTTAGAAATTTCTATAGAAATTGATGATAAAAGATCACAAGCGATCAACTTTTTAAACATTGGAAATTGTTTAAGGGAATTACACCGATTCGAAGAGGCAAATGAATTCTACAAAAAGAGTCTTTTCATTGCTAAGGAAATAAATGACAAAGTTCGTGAGGCAAATATATATCATTCTATGTCTCTTTGCCATGGACCTCATTTACAAACTGCAATCCATTTGATGGAGAAATGCCTTGACATCGCCAAGACTATCGGCAAAAAAGATCTTGAGAGTATTGCATGCTCTAATTTAGGGGAAATATACTATTCATTACACAAAGAGAACCAAGGACATCAAGCATGTGATGATACTGACGATAATATAGCTAAATCAGAACAATACTTGAGGAAGGCACTTGATTGTTTTGACTTTTTGCCACTACATCTCCATCAACAAGATGATTTCAAAGTCTCTATTTTTGATAAATTCAATGAAACCTATAAGGTCCTCACGACTGTGCTAATCAACACAGGGAGACCACAAGAGGCTCTGTTAGTATCTGATGGTAGACGAGCACGTGCTTTAGGAGATCGCTTGGTCTTCAAATACGGTATGATTCAAAACGAAATGTCATTGCCTAAGCCACTAACCTATCCTGATGTGGAGGCGATCTTCTTTAAAGATGTCTTCTCGATACTGCATTACAGCTTACTAAGCAACAGTTTGGCTGTGTGGGTTTTAGCCAAAGACTCACTGATGTTCAGAGAAACTGAAAACGAACAATTTGATTCTGCCATAGAAACATTGACTGAAGAAAAGAAAGATGATGATGAAAACTCCATGAATCCCTTCTTTGCCGGAACTATTTCAAAAGCATATGAAATGATGAAAATCAAAGAAAGCGTCACTTGTGAAAACAGATCACTTGATGATTGCGTTACATCGAAAGATCACGTCACTACAAAAGCTTCTGAATCTCTGTCACGTGATGATGGCACAAGTGAACGAGAGAGCCTCTGTAAAGGGTCACACCCACTTGAAACGTTGTACAATTGTTTAGTTGCACCTGTCCTATYAGACGTACGACACGACGAGATTRTCATAGTACCCGATGGACCAATGTATAGAGTACCGTTTGCTGCCCTAAGGAATCCCAATACAGGCCAGTATCTATCAGATACGAAACGAATTCGACTTACACCATCAATAGCAATATTAAAGGCTCTAAATGAATGTCCAGTGGATCATCACAGCCAAAAAGGAGCGTTGATTGTAGGAGATCTAAGTGTTGGAGAAGTCATGTTCAGAGGAAAGAAACGAGTGTTTGCACGTTTACCTTCAGCAAGTAACGAAGTAAGATTTATTTCTTATAAGTTGGGGCAGACCGCCCTGACTGGAGAACGAGCTACCAAAAACGCTGTGTTGCACAGAATGAAAGAGGGATCAGCTGTAATTCACATTGCTGCACACGGGAGCTCTGACAATGGTGAAATAGCGCTGGCACCAAATGTCTCGNTTTATAAGTATTTTATCTTCCAAGGAATCGCATCAGAAACTCGGTGGTGTAATGGTATATATACACCCTTTTAATAAGTCCCAAGGTATTGAGTTCTCCGCACTTGACGTCAAATTTATTCTTTTGAATTCCTTTTGTAGTGTAAGAATTTCAAAAGAATAAATTTGACGTCAAGTGCGGAGAACACAATACCTCGGGACTTATTAAAAGGGTGTATAAGACGGCGCATATAGACTGGACGGTAGGGGATCCTGTCGTGAGGGAGTCCTTTATCAAAGACCTTTTTTCACTAAATTAATGTTGAATTGATTATTTCTAATAATTTGATCATCATTGGCTAGTAGTAGTTGGAAACATGGTAGAAGTAACTGGAAACAAGGTAGAAATAGCTGGAAATAATGTAGAAGTAACTTGAAAAAGGTAGAAGTAATTGGAAATAAGGTAGAATACAAGGTACGAGTACTTCCTCTGGTTTCAAATTACCTCACGTGGTACAAATTACAATCAGGGATTGGCTGGATACTTCATGGATAATTAATGAGTATGAGAATGGTTGTTTATTGCTGTCTAAGTATCGATATGAATTCGACATTACTCGAATTGAACACATGCTCGATTTTACAATGTGTCACTAAATATTTGTAGAATTCTCTTCGATTGATTTATTCTATTCATCATATTTGTGATTTAGAACATTATCATAAGTCATAATGTATTTAATCTTTGAGTTCAAGTTAATGCAAAGTTTACTTGTCGCCATTTTGAAAACACAGGAAGCCCAATTTGATATACTGCTGAAGACTTTGAAGAGAAGACATGACATRGTCGAAAGCATRTTTTATCGGTGAATCAAAACTASAAGCCGGTGARACTAAAGATGCMATARGATACTTTAAAGATGCCCTGGCGATTGCACAAAGGAATGGCTCTAAAARGGAAGAAACTGTCACGCTAGCAAAACTGGCTGAAATTTACTGTGATATAGAAAATTATCACGAAGCTGTTGAATACTATGAGAAGGGACTGGAAATAGTACAAGAGACTGGTGACAAGAAACTAGAGTGTGAGATGTGTTATAACATTGGCACTGCGTACGATAAACTGGAAGATTATGAAAAGTTTATGCAGTATTCAAAACAAGGCTTCAAAGTTGCATTAAGAATCGGTGACTCTAGACTCACTGCAGCGTACTATGACGGTCTTGGTCGTGCTTACCATNTAGATCACAATGCAATGAAAACTTCTATCTCAGACCTACGGCAACAGGCATAAAAAAGAAAATCAGCAAACAAAATAGGGAAAAAAACAAATTAGGAAAATATACAAACGATCAAGAAAGGAAGATTTTTTGCTAACCTATTAATGAGTCCAGTTGTTTGTGTTCGCCAAAAATAATTAATTCCCCTAGTGAAATCTCACAGATGAAAGTATTCAACTGAAAGAAAACAACGAAAACACGTATTATTACCAACAAAATAGTACGTGAATTACCACAAACATAGCCTCCTCCGCAGCATCACTAAGAATCACGGGCTTCCTGTCTTTTTTAGAGTTGAAAGAGGGAGAACGGGGCGAGAAAAGGGAAGCGTGTGTTTATTTTTCCTATCCCGTCACTAGTCCCTAACGGCCATTACGACCGATACAAAGGAAGCCCAAAGGAGGAAAAAAGATTTGCCTGTGGAGGAGGATACCACAAACACAACATTATCACTTAGTAGTGGCTGATTCACATCAGAATGGGTCCATATGGACATTGTAGAATACTCCATTTTACAGCTCCAAGCGCCATCTTGAAATGAACGTACCTGTTTCGGTTCCATCAGTGATACCAACATGTGTAGAATTTCACTGTCACCAACAACATGTTCAGAAAACTAAGAACATAAATGTCACAATTTCATTCAAAATGTTTCAAGAGAAATGATATTTGTATATGAGAAACGTCCGTTTAGCAACGAAAGGTTCCAACATTGCCAAATGAATAAATTTACCGACCTCTCTAGGATTCGAACCCACAACCCTCTAATTTGTACTACCGATTTGTCGGATGTTTCACGGAGATGGAAAATATTTTGAAAATACTACCTATTTAAAATAATTTAGTTGATAAGACTTACCACTCTGTAGATGGATGGTATCAGGTAACGAAACGTTCTTGGATCGTATTCAGAACAAACCTTAGAAATAAAACAATAGGAACAATAA